TTTTTTTTTTTTCCTTCTCAGAAATGTGTTTAAGTCTCTTCCTATTCTGGCTGTGAAAAAAAGCACTTTCCTTCCCCTACAACTCTCAGACGGTCTCAGGGCTTGTTTTGTCCGTCAGGCAGCGGTGAAATGTAATGTTTACATCTCATGAGGATGAATGAGGTCAGAACACATGTCATCAGTACCGATTCCTGTAGCTTCTATTTATGGTAGCGTTTCCTTCCACTTTAATAAATAAAAACAAACCAGTATTTCCTTCACGTGAGTTTAGCCGTTGTCGCTGATCGAAAGCCTCATAAGGAGCCTGCAGAAAGTCCGTTGCTGTCTTTCGTGATGGTGTTAAAATGACTTTCTAGTGACCTGGTCGTTTGCTCTCATATTTCCAACTCCAGTCCATGGGATTTACTTCCTTTGTGCTGCCTGTTGTCAGAGCCATTGTATCCTCCCTGCAGGAATTAAATTTACCTCGTTTAGCACTTAATGTTGAGCTGCTCCGCATGTAACGCCTGCAGAATCCCGCTGTCCTTGGAGGAGGGGATGAATGAGTCCATGCACTGTATTTACTTGATGTGTCTTTCATCTCCAGTATCTAATCCACCTGGTTTCTAATCTTCATATTCTGCAATTGCTTTTACCTTTTCTTCTTCAAGCATTTCCTGCTGTTACGCAATTAGCTATCAGGAGCAGTCGCTTTACCTTTCCTCCATCAGAAGTACCCACTCGTCAAATTGCAGGTCTGTCTTCAGTTGCTAAAGTAGATCGTAGCTCCTCCTCTTTTACCCACACGATTGCTGAAACATCCTCCTGCCTTTTCTGTCACTAAGAGCTTATACAGTAAACTTCAGCTCTGTCAAGAAGACAATTTGTGCAAGACATTTATCTGACTAATATGGAAATTTCACCAAAAGTTGCCCCCTTCTGATGAACAGTTCTGTTCTTACCTGGTAAAAGCCTTGTGTAATCAGAGTTCTTATAAAATGAGTAAGTGCAGTATAAAATGAACTTTCTCTTCTTCCTTAAGCTTCCTCCCAATTTTTAACTTTATTATTTGTAACTGCTTGAAAACCATTGGATGATCTTAAAGGTTTTGAATTTCAAAGTGGGTTCTGCCTTTCTGTGTTGACTACAGCAGCAACAGAAGGTGCTCCAAGTGTCGGATTTGTCATCTGATGCTTTCTATTACAGTTTGCAACCGACAGTCATTACTGTATGTTTGGCAATTTCCAGAATACTGAAGTCCTCAAAAAGAGTGAAGCAATGTTTTATGGTAGCTAGAATGAACCTGCTTAAAACCATCTCACCACTTAAAAGAGGCTTTTAAAGTACCTTGTAGGTTTAGAATTAAAAGTCCTATGGTATATGTTTAACTCAGCTATGACTTTTTGGTCAATTGGTTCAATGCTGAAATGGGGCGGGGGAGGTGGGTGCAGTCTTTTGCCCCTTTCACAACAAAACCTCATACTAGGCACTAATAAAGTAGTTGTCAGTCCATGCTTAGAAAAGCTTACTGCTGCATCTATCCAAATCTGTCTCATAGTAGCCTGCTGCATTGAGTTAAACCTGCTCAGGAAAGAGCAGAAGTCAGATTGAAGAAGTAATTTCTCTTCATTGAAAAGACCATTAAAAATGATTCTGCTAGCCTGACAACTCAGTAAACTTCAGATCAGTGTCCTTTTGACTATAGCTAGATTAGTGCCAGACTTGAATGGGTTAAATAGAGGGAGAAGTGAGACTAAACTCCAGTTTTTAACTACTTGGAATTTTAGGAATTGACAATTAGCTTTCTTAGCAAAACAGGATTGCTAGAAATTGCACTTCTTGTTTAGTTAAGACCTGTCTTTTTCATATGTCTAAATTAAGTTCTGCAGACAGTCAGGAGCCAGTTGCAAAACAAGCCTATAACATGTAGTTAATGGTCCTATATTAAAATGAAATTGCGTGAAAGGTTGGTGTTGCAGCACAAACGCTGTTGCTGTAAACGTGCTGCTCTGCTTTGCCAGACTCGCTCTGTTTTTACGATACCTGCCTGGGAGAGAGTGAAGGCAGCAGTGTGCCAGGACCACCACCTTCTAAAGAGAAGTGAGAAGCAGATCAGGCTGGTGCTCGTTTCCAGCTCTCATGTGCTGGAACAGGGCTCTGCTGCATAGACCAGGTTGTTTCTGCATTTCTTTGTGCCCCTTATTCCACTGCCATCCTCTGTCCCCTCCTGCCTCCGTGCCTGTGGCCAGAGGCAGGATTCGGAGCGGCCCGAGCGCATGGTCCGGAGCGTGCTGCTCCTCGCCTGATTCCCGCGGTGTGTGACAGCGCCAGCCTTTGCGGTGGTACCTCTGCACCTTACAAAAGCTGTGTGTGTGTGAGCTAGCGGGTGACTCAGCTTTGTCCTTTTGCTCGAGTGAGAATCGATGTCTTGGTTTTTTCATCTTCCTCCTCCCTCTCTCGTGGAGGCTGCTGAGCCGAGGACGGGAACAGCGCGGCGCTGGCTGCGTGGGAGGGAGAGGCAGTAGGAGGGTTCCCCGACCCCGGAGCCTCTGCGGTGATGCAGCCAACTGACGTACTTTCTCCTGCATCAAAGTGACGGTTGCCGGGCTGCCTCATTGAGCCCCTCTTTTTCTTGTTTAATATTAAAGTACAAAGCTGTGTAAAAAACACATGCTTTTCTACTCTTTGAAGTGGTGCTGGCTAAATGCCTGAAAAACATTTTCCAGTGGTTGTGGAAAAAAATCCCATTACGTTTTACAAATATTTTTGTTCTATTTCACCCCTTTCTTTCAGAAGCTTCATAATAGTCCTCTAGAGACTTGGTCTCGGGTTACTAGCAGAGACTGACCCATCCCGATAGTTGCGTTGCAAACAAGACTTGCAACTAAACCAAAAAGAAATAAAACTTAAATTTAACTGGCTGGGTTTGTACTTTTCTTTCTGCATTCTGTATATTTTCCTCATCATCATGTTTATCATTGAGCTCTCAGCAAGCTATAGGTTGAACACGTAGCCTGGTGTCTAACACGTGCTCTTTGGGACTCGAGTCTAGAGGCTGTTAAGCTGATTGACTGTATTGCTTCCAACCTTATATAGTACTTTTTAAGATGAAAACTATAATAAAATGAGCGAGACTGTATTTTTTTCAAAGTAATGTAAAGTTCCTGCACAAAAAATACCGGACTCAATGGTCTTGTAAGGACAAGAAAGATGGTGCGTGGAGTCAGTTGCAGAAGCAGACGGTGCACTGCACTAATGCTGTGTGCATGTATGCAATCTCCAGCTTTTTAAAATGCATTGCTAACTTCTGCCGAATGAAGAAATGAGTTAGCCAGTGGTTAGCAATTATGCTTGCATGCCTTTGTGCATTACAATGCTAGGCATGCTATAGGGTATCAGCACGACTCTGCTGGTGGCAGATCTTTTCCGTCAGAATAGAGATGTCAGTCTTCCACTTTCTATCAAGTGCAATTAACCTTAAATTGCAGGAATGGGGATTTAAGAGCCCACAGCTAGACTGGACTTGGGTTCTGAGTCATTTTAAAAGTAAAAGGGTTTTGGGGTGTTTTTTGGTTTTGGTTTGTTGTAAAACTGAAGGTCAGTAAAAGTTTTCCCGCAACACTTTAATTTCATTGGTCACGTCTGCCGTTTATGCGATCTAATATTTTCCAGTTAGAGTTAGCACACGAGAAGTAGCAGCGACAATGAGCATGATCAGGAATGAGACTTTCCTAAATGGGTCAGAATTCACTGCCTCTCACTAGAGGATGCTGACCCTATATGCAAGGGTGCACTTTGCTTTGGTTTTTAGCATGAAATCTTAATATTTTTTTTTTTTAGTGATGATGCAACAGTGTACTGAAAGGGTTTCTGCAACTGTGATTCAACAGCCAAATCATATAAAACGTCTACGGTCAAAGCCTGGAATTTTCTCCTGCAGTTATTGTGCCATAGCTGACTAGCAGCATGATGTTTGACAAGTAATACCAGCATGGTTTTTGCTGTACTTGTGTAAATGACTTAGTAAACTGGTAAAATTCCACTAATCCCTCTGTAAGTGAGCTTATCATGGGATATGAATTTCCTGTTGCCTGTCCCCTGCTGCTCAGTGTAATAAAACAGCCAGCCAGAAAATCACGTTGGTTCCTGCGTTTGGTGTCTGTCACTTGTTCCAGTTTGGGTTAACTTGCTTCTGCAGAGGTTACGGTTTTCCAGTTTTCCTCTGGCTTTGGGCTCTTTGTTTGGGCGATTAGAACCGAAGCTCATAAACAGATCCTGTTAAGATACATGAACGTAATATAAACTACGTGGACATAAGCCAACGTGCTGAGGTGCGTGAAGGGCAAGTTGCTGATGATCAGAGGCGTGTGTAAAGCTTGCTTTCTTGGAAAACTTAGTAGGATGCTGCTCCGAACCTCTGACCGGCGCGTAAGGCCTGCTGAGGGAGTCTGATACTGCATCCGCTCTTGTGGATAAATAAGCTTGATTCATTCTTTCTCCCTCTATGTGTTTTTATTAACCGAGGCAAGACATTTCTGAAATGACTGACTCCTCTAGGAATGCC